GTCGTGTAGATAAAAGTCACTGGAATGACAAATCAAGATTTAGTAGAAGTGGTAGACGAGGGGTGGTTCCTCGCTTCTTTGCGGTAGTAAAAGATGAACCTTCGGTTGATCCCAGGACACCACGAAAACGAAAAACAAGACACAGCAATAATCCTCCTGTTGAACATCACGTTGGTTGGATTATGGATGTTCGGGAACATCGACCACGCACATATTCTACTGGGTAAGTTTACAGTAACAAAACACTAAATAATAATTAAGGAAATAGATTTTAATAATTCTTTATTTGAAAATATTTTATTTGTGTTTTGTAGAAGTAGTGCTGGAACAAGTCCAAATGAAGGTTACCTAGCAAGTAGTTACGGAAGTGCACCACAGCCTTTGCCCACTTTCCATCATCCGAGTCATGCTCTTCTAAAAGAGAACGGTTTTACACAGCAAGTCTATCACAAATATCATACACGTTGCTTAAAAGGTAAACGAATTTTTTTTTACTAAATCAAATATATCGCAAAAGTAGTAAAAGAAAATATTTTATTATTTTATAAATGAATTAAACGTACGTGTAATAAATTAATTATTGTATGTCTGAATAGTAGTTAATCATATTATGACTATTAGCTTTGACAAATAGATCTTAAAACTTTGTTTACTAATGTTGAAATCGGATCTATCATTAAAATTAAAAAATCTATTGAGATCTCATATGAGTTTTAATGAATTAATTTCTGTTACGTGATCAACAACATAAATGATCACATTTTTATGATATACAATGCATATATATATATATAAAATAATATACATGATGATGAATTATTTTATTTTTGTCTTCTTTTCCCGGCTGAGAAATAATTATGAAGAGAAAAGAGGATCTGAAAATATTTTAATAGATATATAAAATATAATTAGTTTAGGTACACGAATATTAATCATGTTTATGTTATTTCAGAACGTAAGAGGCTTGGAATCGGTCAGTCTCAAGAAATGAACACACTTTTCCGTTTTTGGTCATTCTTTTTGCGGGAAAATTTCAATCGTACTATGTATGAAGAATTCAGGACTGTAGCCAAAGAAGATGCCTCCGAAGGTTATCGATATGGTTTAGAATGTCTTTTCAGATTTTATAGTTACGGTTTGGAGAAAAGATTCAGACATCACCTTTACAAAGACTTTCAAGTCGAAACGATACAGGATTACGAAAGTGGTTAGTGAATTTTTTTTATGCAACATGAAACATGATGCACATAATAGGTTATTTAACTATGACAATGTTTGTTAGTTAAATGGTAAATTTGTGCTAAAGTAAATGAAATGTTCAGTTGATACCGCGAGAATGATTCATCTCGTGTGTGGTATTTAACGTAGCAACAAACACTCATTAATTAAATCGAAAGTAATTGTTCGTTTTAAATAAAGTAATAATATTGTATTTTATGTTTTAGGTCAACTGTATGGTTTAGAAAAATTCTGGGCTTTCCTAAAGTATTATAAACATTCTGATCAACTTCAAGTAGATCCTAAATTACAAGAGTATTTGTCCAAATTTAAGAGCATTGAAGATTTCAGAGTAGTTGAGGTAAATATTTAATTTAAGCATAAAAGATAATTAACACATTTTGTGTCAGGTAGATTAACAATTGTCCACAGTAACAAAGGAAAGTAAAATTATAAGTAAAAAAAAATATTGTATAGTATTATTTTCAAATAAAAATAAACTCAAGAAAAGATTAAAATGTCAAAAAATCAATACAACTGTCCCCTAATTAAACATATATCAAATAGTATAATGTTCTTATCTAGATTTAAAATATTACAAAAAATGTTTGTCTTGGCACGAATGTCTCAATGAATCTGAATATATTGATTTCATTGAAAAGGAATTTTTTTATTGTTTATCCAATTCATAAATTTGTTTTTTATTAAAAACAAAAAAAGAAACAAGCTGACCCAGAATTAATACAATTTAATATTTTCATAGAAAGTTTATTAAAAAAATGCATATAATGTCTGTATGCGTTGGCATTAATTTATTACCATTACATACCATGACATTTTTTTATAGAGCTTTTCTGAATATGAAAAGTTACTTATAATTTTTGAGTTTGATGTATAATTCCATTAAATAACATTTTCATTTGTTACAGCCTCAAATAAATGAAATGCTACAAGGATTTGCTGCAAATTCTCGATCTCAAGCTGCAAAAAGACGAAACAGAAGTGTATCAGAAAGTGCAGGTGATGGCGATATCTCGCCAATCAATAGAGTTCGTCGATTATCTGGAGGCTCCAGTACCGTAACACTACCAACCTCAAGTTCTGAAAATAATGCTACAGCACAAAAATCTCGCGTGGACTCAATGAATCTTTCGCAGTTTCGAAACAGAGCTGGTTCATTTGGCTCTGGGAGATTAGGCCATTCCAGAAGACGAAACGACGTCGCTTCTTCTTCATCCAATAGTCAACGAGACTTAAGTAAACAACAGCAACCACGAAGCAGACAAAATTCTGGCTCATGTATGAAGACCCAGGAAGTGAGTGGAAAACCTCAAAATACTGCTAGAGATCGTTTACAGGCAACCTTAAAATCCGAGCAGATGAAGTCGGTGACGATCAAGGCGGATAACACATCGATTTCTCAAAAGTGAGATCAGCTTGAAACCGAAGGGTAAGTGCATAAGCACTTACTCGATTTGCTAAAATGGATAAGTGTGTCGCTCCTGGAATAGAAATAATATTTGTTCTAAGAAAGGGAACATCTCGTTTGAAAAGTAATACAAGAGTACACAATGTACTAGAACGTATGAAAGAATGAGCACAAAACTTTCTGTATATAAAACGATTAATCGATCAACGCATCTTTGACGTTGAAGATTGTTAGGAAAAAATAACGAAACACACTATAGGCAAAGGTGAGAAGCACCTTCGTCCCTGAGAGAAGTTCATCGCGCTGTTTTTAAGGTAGTCCGTTAAGGTTTTATTTACGAATATACATATATTCGGATAATCTTGCTTATATCAGGGATGTACTACACTCGAATTAAACTCTGCTCAGTTCATCCATTAAGATACTCCCGCTAAAATCGTAGCAAGAAAAAGAGAGGGGCCCAGAATGAATGAGCATATAAAGAAATCAGGCACGTTAGTGTGCATATTTCATATTGTCGATAAATTCGTGTGTTCGTTTAAAATGTTTGTTCGAATGAAGTTTCCACTAGGAGAGAAAGAATAAGGTCTCTGAAGTATACAATGTATGAATGTATGTCGGCATTATTATCATTCTTTGCAAAATTTGCTTTTTCATTCATAGAAGAAAACAATTGAGATACCAAAACTGTAATATTTGATATAGAATACTGAAAAAATGAAGCTCCAGTTTATCGAATGGTTGCACAGGAGTTGATCACTCATCAGTAAATTTTTTTACAATTCTCATATTCAATGATATTAAATGTTTAATACGCATTGAATCTTAAAATCTGATACCTTGCTTACGGATTAATATGGACATGTTTCTTTGTGTTTCATTAATATGAAGAAACCAACTTGATTTCAAATTAATGTTAACAATTGGTAAACGTGTATGAATTTCTTTATTTCATTATAAATTGTTATTTTTATTATAACTATTATATAAAATTCATCTCTTTAAAAATATAATGAATAGTAATATTTTCATTATAAAGATTTACCTAAAATTCAAACTTTCAATCGCGTTATTAATAGTTGAAGAAAATCAAAAGCTTCGTTGTTAAATGTATAAATATTTTTGCGATATTTGTGTTTTGATTTCGAGAAACATCACGAACATATGTTTCAGTATTCACCGCTCTGAATACCTAGCACTACATTCGCATAAATATTGTGTAATTTGTAAAACAAATCACTTAATTAATTGTGAATGAAAATTCTAGAAGATCATTTTGATGTAAGTAAATACTTCAGAAAATCATGGTACGTGTTAGACTATCTAGTAAAACAGTGATTGAACTCTTAAACAATTTCAATGCTCAATGGGTTGCACTAAGTTCTAAATCAAGTAAATCTTTTAAAGACATCTCGTGCGAATTAAAGTGAAAATGGAAATGTGGTTGTATAAAGCCATTGTAAATATCATATTGACACATGAAATATACTCAGTTCGTGGCCGGTGCACAATGAAATATTATATTTTATGCATAGAAATTTATAAAGCTGTTTCTTTAATAAGATGCATGTAAATCTGTTAATATTGGTAATGTTACGTAGAAAGTTGAATGCTATAGGGGAGAAAAAATATAATGGCAATTGCAGCATAATACTTAGAATGAACAATATCATTTTGCTTTTAAGCATACAATTTTTAGTTTATTTTATTTCTCATTATCAACAATTAAAATTCAGTTTTTATTGGCAAAGTAATTTAATTGTTTCTCTTTTTATATTTTATAGACTAGTAATATGTAATTTCGAATAATTTCTTTTTCTTTTTCCTTTTTTTTTTATTATAAGGATTTTAATTATATTTCTAAGGTTCAACTTCGACTTCTGATACATTATAACATTCTTATACATAGAATTGAAAATTACAAACATAATATACCAATTATAATGTTTATTTGTACGTGCTTGTCATATTCTGTGTTCTTTTGCTAGGAATAGGGATTACTTAAAAGTGTTAGAAAGAGTCTATTGTTATTTTTTGTCCTTTTGCTATTCTGACAGTCATTTTCTTACAACTGGTGGACAAATGTTATTCTCTAGTTGATATTACCAGTTTTATTTCTGATCATCAAGCAATAACAGCATAAGTCTAGTAATGTTAGATACCATATTCAAAAGAACTGGATTTTTTATAATTGGAGAAACTAGAAATCATTAAATGAAATTTCCAATAAAGGTTGTACAGAATTTTACAAAAAATTAAATGTGAAAAGCTTTCCAGTTGATACTGATAAAAGAATTTTTAGGACAAATAGAAAAAGTAGGAAGTTCTTGAGTTTTGCTGATTAGGTGTTATTTTTCATTATACAACGAATGCATCCAATTGATTAAAAAAATTAACAGATTTAAAAATTAAGATACATAGAAATTATAGTTAAGTGATAATATAAGAATGTGTAGTTAGACTAGCTAGAATTTTAAAGATAAGCAAAATTGCTCTTTGTGCTTTAGCATCCAGTGAAACAATCATTCTGACATTAACAAAGCATTAATGAATTCAGACCAATTAAGTTATTTAAGAAAGGAAGCATAAATTGAAGATTTGATTTATGATAAAGGTATTTTCAAACATGAATGGCTGGATCATTCTGGTAACTTCTTTATCGACGATCTTTGGTTAACTACGTGATTTACAATAAAATATTTTGAGAAGTCGACATTAAATTACATACAAGTGCCTGGAGATTCTACAGATTTATTCTTGTCTTTTAATGTACTAGTCACGCACTGAGTCAACATATTGTGAACATTGTTTTGCAAACATAATAGTTGGAGTTACAAAAAGAGAGAGTTTTTATTTTACTGCCAAACATTCTTTCTGTTATTCATGTTTTACATACAAAATTGCATCATAGTTTATAGTGCCTATGCTTTATAAGATCACCTTTCGTTAAATGAACATTCATACTACTTTTTAATTTGAGCATTTCTTCATTCTCAAATTATGTATTAACGTTTTGGTGAGAGTTAATAAGGAGAGAAACACACAAAATGTCAAGGCTCAGTTATGAAGCATTTTATAATTTTTATGTTGATGTTTGGTTCTTTTCCTTTTATTTTTATAAACACGCGCTCCAAAGAGTTTTATTTTTGTATGTTGTTCATGATACAAACAATGTTCACTAATAATCAACCTAATTGTTATTTAAACGCATAAAAGAAAAGTTCGACAATGTTCAAGTAGTTAGCAACAATTTAATTAAAGACATAATATCAGGCTGTCCAAACTGATGGAATCCTACGAAATTTATTTCTTTTTTTCAGTGGCCTTAAGTGGAATCTGATTGTGCCTGAAATTTAATGGGTTACATCGAACTTCGTCCGAGTTCTCTTTAGCCAGAAGCCATTGAGAAAATTTGTGTGAATGCATGAAATAACAAATAATATTGAATTTTCGATTTATCATGCGAAATTTTCTCATGTTATCGAAGGCTCAAGAGAAAAAGCAGAAAATCATTTCCAAAAAAAAGCAAAGTATAAGATGTTTTATAGTAGAATGAGTCAATGATTATTTAAAATGATTCTTACTAAGAAAAACGTGATATATGACTTCTCTGATCTTATTTTCAGAGGAAAATCGATTTTGTTACCATCTTTAAAAATGAATAATGTGTTCATAATTTTCATCAGCAATTTAGTGAAAATATTGTATGGTGTACCAACAGTTCCCTATTTCGTATGATTGATAAACGTTGCCTACAAATTGTTTGCATGTTGAAAGTTTTGTTAAAGGTAGAAAATGGTGATTGTCAAACAAAATAAATGTTTTGAGTGTAATATATTAACTATTTAAGTGTAGAATGATATTATTCAACCTCATTTAAATAAATAATAGGCTGAGAGTATGTATTTTCTAAAAGGCCAATGCAGCCTTTATGATTATTCATGAATTTACCTGTGAATTATTTAAGATGATAATAGGAATTTTTAAATTATAATTGTGATCTTTATTCTACACTGAAATTGTTAAATAGAGTGACTTATTTTTATCAAAACTATTGGTACAACCTTCTAAACAATATTATGTAGATACAAAACATGGAGTACTAATATTATGCTCTCCATGTTGTCTATATTCTTTCTATTTTTTCTCATTGTCTTCCTTTTGAATTTTTGCCTCAACTGGATTTCAATTGAAAACTGAATCTTACAATTTCTATATTACAATTTTTCAGTCATCTACGATTTTATTATTAAATTATAAATTATATCATGTCGATGAGCTTCGGTTTAGTCACTTTAGCTGATAATATATTTAATCGAATTCTTGTTGTCTTTTTAACTAAAGTATAGTTAAAAGATTTGCATATGATTGTGTAAGTTTTCATAAGTTGCGTATCAATTTTTGAAAAGTTTGACCTCATACTAACTAAAGAAAAAATAACTGTGCTCATGTATCGACAGTGGTGATTATATTACAGTTCCTATGTCCGTTCGAATTAACATTATGCTTGTGATAAGCACTCGAAACGCGTTAAAGCATGAAAGGTTATATTATTCCTTTTAAAGGGGTTGCATCGTTTCACGAGTAAGAATTAGGTATTCCTTGGAAACTTTTTGAGAAAAGAATTAAAGATAATTGTATTATTTGTTATATTTATCAATATAAATAATTTATTACATAAAAAAATAATTTCTTGTATGTGCATAAAAGTAATGTCTTTTTTTATTGTATATACGATTTTATTACAACATTTTTTATAATCTTTATTATATACTAGAAATCAGATAATTAATATAATAGTGTTCTAAATAATAAATAATTTATCTTTTTAAGGGAATAAAGCGTTCTTTGTATTAGTAACAAAAAATAATGATATTTAATTCGTGTATCGTATTACCTATATACAGATATATAACCTATATCTTAACATAAAAATGATATAATTATTTTTAATAGTATTTTTGAGAAAAATTCTCGTGGGGTAATAATCCTTATTTCGTGAAACCAAATAACCCCTTAAA